GGGGAAGTAGGAGGGATACTGGAAACATTGGTGGTGAAGAATGGGCACTGGTGGAGGGATGGGTACTCGGTCATTGTATGACTGAAATGTAAGCAGGAAAGTTTGTAAGTCTGTAACTATCTCACGGTGACTCATTAAAACAATTTTTTAAAAAATTAAAAAAAAAGATTTTTTGTGTTTTGTTTGGGGGTGACACTTGGCAGTGCTCAGGGGTTGCCCCTGGTTCTGCACTCAGGAGTTATTCCTGGCAGTGCTCAGGGGACCTTACAGGCTGACTGGGATGGGACCTGGATTGGTCACGGGCAAGGCAAGCATCCTACCAGCTGTACTATCTCTCTGGGCCCTCCGTATAGGGTTTCTGGATGTGAACTTCTTTCTAGTAATTTTTCATTGTATATCATCAGTGCTGCAGGAGGAGTCTAACCAAAGGAATATACAAATGTACTCCTTCATGCAGGGTGTGGGACCAAGTAATTTAATGCTGTGGTCATTTTTTACTATGCACCCTGTATGCACAGGCCCTCCCCATCACCCCAATACCCACCCACAGTTGTGACAAACAAAACTGTCTCCAGCCATTGCCAAGTGTATGTATCTTCTGGGGGTGGGGGGGCACACTCACCCTAATTGACTGTCTTTGGCTTAGTTACCAGTATCCATTACCTAAACTTGCTCCGTTTTGAATACAGTGCCTGAACTTATTTCTGTAAAGAACCGAAGAGTAGAAATTGGAGACTTCAAGAGCCATAGGCCAGTGTGGCTTTGTATTCTTCAACCTCTTTCAAGTGATTAAAGCTCAACTCAGCTCCAAAAGACCAGAATTTGTCAAGCTTTGCACTATAGAAGTGATGCGTTCTCATAAATGTGGGATGGTATTTGGAAAAACTGGGATCTCGATCCAGCTGCCGGGTTCTCCCAGTCCATAGCTAGCAAATGACGTGGCCTTTCTTTGAAAGCCTTAATTACATAATCCTGGTTCAAATCTATTAATCTCACATTGCAATTTAGTTGTAAATGCATTTAAACATAAAAGTGTAACTAGGTTAGCAACCTGATATTTCAATAAAATGAGATTCCCCATTCTGTAAGAATATGTAAGAATGTCTTCCTAATGAGGATAGATCCTTTCCCATACTTGGAACAAAATATTCTACGCAGTTTCTCTGAAGGAGATGTTATGCAAAAGAAAGAAATGCTTCTATTCTTCAATACTGAAATAAGTTGTTGTACTACTACACAGGTTAGTAAAGAAGGAAGAATGTATCTTAGGAAGGGGGAGAAGGGAAGCCTTGCAACTGCTTGGAACTGTATATTTTTAAAACGTCACATTGAAAATGCATTTCAAAGTGGTTGCAACAAGTGTTTATTGAGGGTCTCCTCTGTGTCAGGAGCAGTGTGGGAAAGAGCTATGTTCAATTATCCAGAGTTTCTCCAAAACGCTTTGGTAATATATTGGCAAATATATATAATTCATTTCAAACACCTTCAGCTTTAACGAAAATATTTTTTGGAGAGTTCAAATTTCTACATGTGGATTTTCATTGACACTAGTGATCTATTTAAGAAAACATAGTTATGATTCAATGATCACTAAATAAAAGGGGGTAGGTATGAGATGTTAATCAGCTATGCTTCATTGGGCTTTAAAAAAATAAAATCCTGCAAGGAGTTTATCATAGGAAAAGATAGAAAGTTACAGTCTAAAGAACACTAGCCCAGGAATGAAAAACAGTCGGGTTCATCCTTGTCTTTTTCCTATGGACAGTTCCACTAATTGCTAAGGATTAGTCTTTGTAAAATGAGATCAGAGCACTTCTTCTGCCTTCTCAAAAGTGTTGCTAGATTTAAACAAACTGGACAATTTACAAAGTATTATAAAAATTATGTTTTTGTCAGGACTGAGCTAAACTGGTTTACACAACATGAATGATTCCGGACTAAATCAAGTACTGTCCAGGTCATCGTCCAAATGAGCTATCAATAAGATCTGCTGATACTTCATTTTAGGCAAGAAAATGTTTTCTATATGAAGACCTAGAAAAGTTCATGAGGCTCTACTTTGAAATTCTCTTTGAGATGAACATCATGGCTCTTGGGTTAGCATCGAATAATGAACTAAATGTCATCTTCTAGTGAAATGGAAATTGTTGAAGATTGACCGCTTAAGAGATTGAAAACAAAGAATGGTTGATCCCTTCCAGCACCATCATGTCCCACCATTTCTGTCCCCAAATTCTGTCTCTGCCCTGCAGACTTCAGAGGACACCATGGCTCAAGACAGTCCCGCTTGCAGTCCAGGATCCAATTCTACAACCTTGAGTCCTGACACCCAGATCTGAAAAAGCTTCTCCAAGGAAAACAAGCTTGTTTTCAAATGTAGATTTGTGTTTCAGTCTTGCTCTCACTTATACAACTTCTGAAAAAAAAAAACTTGGGTTTTCATTAATTGGCCATGGTGAGGAATCAGATGTTTATTCTTCAGGCTGGAAGCAGTGCCTTCCAGCCTTGTGAGTAACTTCCTCTAGGTTCCTAGTGGGGTCTGAGAGAACCTTACCCCTGGGGTCTGCTTCAGCCAGAGGCTGGTTGATATGTATAGTGTCAACTGTCAGTGCTATCCTTGGGGCCAGAGACACAGTATCCAAAAAAAAAAAAAACAGAAAGGGCAGAAACAGTGCTCTTGCTCCGACACCCTCTGTAAAGGACTAGTTTTCTTCATGTCTCTAATGGGGAAAAAAAGGGGAGTGGAGGAAGCTTACAAGTGCGTGTTCCCATATTTCACATGTTCACGGCATGTGAAGGCTCATTTTTCTCTGCCCCTCCCATCCCCCATCTCTACCTGGAAAGAAAAGAAAAAGAAACTGGACATATAAAAATTGAAGACAATTCCCTTGGGTTCCTAAGTCTGGGTTTTATAAGCTGTCTTCTGATTTCCTTTGACCAGAAACGTGTGCTGAGCACTTTGCATGCTGACTTGATTTTGATTTTACCCAGACACCTAGAACATTAAAAAAAAATCCCCCTTTATTTCCAAACAATTCATTGGCAATACATCTGCGGAGCCAAAGCCAGCCTCCCCCTCGCTCCAGACCCAACTTGCCCTGAGAGCACAGATCAAAATCCAACAGGAGAGAAAGAATCCAGTAGAAAAGAGATCACCCATGTGCCTGTTGATGTCTCATTAACCTTGAGAATGAATGGGACTATTCACTATCCATCACAGTGGCCACTTAATGTGGGGGAGGGGTGCCCCCCATATCATCACTTCAAAAACATTTCAAAGGGAAATGGGGGAAGGGGGCGGGGGAGGGGCGCCGCAGTGGTATCACTACCTCAAAAACATTTCAATGGGAAATGGAGTTTAGCACATCATCTATAAAAAGACTAGCTTTCCAACTGTCACGACTGGCTACATGCTAGTTGCCTTGCGCTCCTGATGAAACTACTACCTGCTTTCCTGGGAAAGCCTTTGGAGCAGTATTTATCTGTGTCAAAATATGTTCCCTGAAGTCTCCGGAAAAGCACTTAGATGTTGGAAGTCTAATCATAAGAAAAGCAAACAGCTGGGGATTAATGTAGGCTTCTGTGTGATGAGTATGTGTGATGATGTATGTGCCATTTCAAATATCACAAGACACCCCAGTGGGAAAATCCGAATTCCACCGAGTCTCCAGTCAGAATTCCCCTCATCTCTAATTGCTGTGATAACTGGTCAACAAATAGACTGAAGCCGTATAGGAAAACGAGCTTGTCTCCAGGGATAAAAGGCTACCTGAAGAAGAAAGGTGGAGGAATGAGCCCCTCCCCGCTCCCCCCCCGCGCCCCCACTTCATTGCCTGATACCCTTTGGGATACATAGGCTATAAATTGAACTGGTCTCTAATCCACGATACTGAGTGGGAAGCCACAGAAAACCAGCACCTTCATCCCCGGCTGGGCACCAGTGCACCTCTGGCGGGGACAAGTTCCCGTCTGCCCTCCCCGGAGAAGCTTAAGTAAACAAACCCTATAATCCCCACCCCAGGGACTGGGACGGAACATCCTCACCTATTTTCGCTTTTCTTTCCTCCCAAGGTCTCTGCTTTTCCAGCTCTAGACCTCACTGCAGTTTTTCTTAGGAACTTCCCGAAAGTTATTAGCATAAACCGCACTTCGCTGTCAAATTCCCACCCAGGGCTCAAGGCACAACCTGTTTCTGCCAGCGTCACCCTCTGGCCAGGGCTAGCTTTCCAGTGCTCCTCTCCGGGTTTGGGGAGCTCGGCGGGGGGGGGGGGGGGGGAGAGGGGGAATCCCTCTTTTCCCAAAGAAGTTTCTGCATTTCTTGCGAGAGGAGCTACCGTGAGAAATGAAATAACCGCGGACCACAAACGGCGTTTCCTAGAAGACGGAGGCGACCGCGGCGCTCCGGGGACCCTGGACGGCTAGGCAGCCCCTGCCCCCGCCGCGGAACATACTTCTTGGCGGGTGGGAGGCTTTTCCTCCCCATCCCGCGTCTCATTCCCCCGCTCCATCCCGTCCCCCCTCCAGCAGCCTTTCCCAACACACTCTTGAGGCCAGGAGGAGGGAAAAGCTGGGGACGGGGCGAGGGGTCTCCCTTCCCTGCACGTAGAGCGTGTCGTTTTTCAAGTAGCAAGACTTTTCGGATGTTTTCTGTGCTTCTCCTTCCCGGCCCCGCCACCCCGAAGCCTCCCCGTCCCCAAGACCACTGCGACCCAAACAGGCGCACCCACAAAGGACCGTGGCCGCCGCCGCCCCAACTGTGCCCCAACTGTTGCAGCGGCTGCCGGGGTGGCAGCGGTCGCGGCCGGGGCCCGGACGGGGCGCTCGGTGGCCGGGCGGCAGGGAGGGTCGGGCCGCACGGTGCAGTAGAGCCCCTGCGGCAGCCGCCCGGACTGGAAGTGGTGGCGCTCTCCGCCCGGACCCCCGCGCGCGGCCAGCCCAACCGCGGCAGCGGGGTCCGGCCGGGGCTGCCCGCGCGCCCGACCCGCGGCCCCCCGGCTCACCTTTAAGATCAGGTCGGTGTGATGTTGGTCCAGCATGTTGGCTTTCTGGAAGGAGGTGACGATGACCCGGCCGTAGCGCCCGGGGGTCTGCAGGTCCGAGTAGAGCCGGTGCTTGGAGCGGTTGACCGGGAAGAGACTGTTGACGAGGTTGCGCTCGATCTTGGCGAGGCTGTGCTGGGGCGCCAGCAGGTGCTCCACGCTCTCTTCGACCTGGTAGCGGCTGAAGCTGGCGCCGAGCAGGATGGAGATGAGCACGGGTGCCGAGGCGAAGAAGACCGGGTGACTGGCAATGAAGTGGCCGAGCCGGGAGAAACACGTCCTCAAGCCCCTGTGCAGAACCTGCCGCAGCATCCTAGAGCAGAGCGGGCGCGGGAGGAGGGCGAGGCGCACGCTCGGCGCGGGCTCGGGCGGCGGCGGCGGCGGCGGCGGTGGTGGCGCCCGCGGCGACGGCGGCGGCGGCGGCGGCGGCAGCGGAGGCGAGACCCGGAGCTCTCCCGGAGCCGCGGCGCCACCATCGGGGAGTCCCGCGCCGCGCCTCCGGAGGGGCCCCTCGGGCCGGGGACACGCCCTCCTGCCCGAGGCCGCGCCCGGAGCCCCCCAGCCTGGCGGCCGCCGCGCCGCCCCCACCCCGCCCTCCCCCGTGCGCCCTCCCCCCCCGCGGCCGCCTCCCCGCCCGGCTCGGCGCGGACGTGTCCTGACCCCACTCACCCGACCCCCAAGGCCGACGGCGGGGTGGCGCGGGGAGCGGCGGCGGCGCCGCTATCGCGGGGAGACTCTGCGCGCCAGCCTAGGAACACGAGGACGGAGAATTCCAGGCGACACCCAGCTCCCGCCCGCCCCGCGCTCCCCTCCCCCGGCCCTCCCCGCCCCTGCCCTCCTCCCCGGAGCCCCCGGGAGGCGGCAAGGAGCGGCCCCGCTTTCCCCGACAGAAAGTCAAGAGTTCTGCCGGGCTGGGGGGGGCCGTCGGGCGGGCCCCCCCCCTCCCCGCTCGGGACCCCGGCCCCCCCGCGAGGCGGAGAGGAGGCGGCACGGAGCCCTGCGTGCGCTCCGGCTCTCGCCCGGCTCAGGTGGCGGCGCGCACTGGCGGGTGCGGAGAGGGGGTGGGGAGCGGAGACGCTCGAACGTGGCGATCACGCCTCCTCCCAAGTAAGAGCCGTGCAAATCCCCCCCGGCACTGCGGCCGCCTCGGGACCGCGGGGTCCGGGAGTGCGTCTGGGGCACGGGCTTCCCCCCCCCCCCCCCCCGCCTCCAAAGGCGCCTGCGGAAAACCTCTCTGCTCGCCCTCACGGAGGGTCGCTGGAGAGCGCGCCGGGCTCGGGCAGTTGTGCCGCGCGCCCCTCGACCTCCCCGCCCGCTTCCCCTGTAATAAAAGTGCTGATAATGACTGTCAGTCTGGGGATCCTCCGCTCGCCAGGGCTCCGCTGCTCCAGGGCTCCTGGCGCTCCACACTGCGTTCTCCTCCTCCTCCACCACCATCTCCTCCTCCTCCTCCCCCTCCTCCTCCTCCTCCTCCTCTCCTCCTCCTCCTCCTCCTCACCCTCCTCCTCCTTCCCTCCACCTTCTCCTCCTCCCCTCTCCGTCCTCCTCCTCCTCCTCACCCTCCTCCTCCTCCTCCTCCTCCTCCTCCTCCTCCTCCTCCTCCTCCTCCCCCTCTTCTCTGTCGTCACGGGCGGGTCTGGGGGACCTGGTGAGGAGGGGCTGGAGCGAGCGCCCCTGCGGGTGCAGAGTGTTGGAGAACAGCTGATCCGGGAGTCTGGAGCCTTTCCCCCCCTTCTCTCTTCCACCCCGCCCTCTCCTCTTCCCACGCGCGAGTGGGGACGTGGGGGGCACCTTATCTCCGACCTGGAGAGACCCTGGTCCGCCGCGTGCCGGGGCGCGGGGGAGCCCGGGGGGCGCCGACGGCTCGACAAAGTTGGGCGTGTGCGTGTGTGCGTGTGCGCGCCAGCCTGGAGCTAGCAGGCAGCCGCCGTGGTTCCCCTCGCACTCCCCCTCCAGAGAATTCCCCGAGAAGGAGGGCGCCGGCTTCGGGCCGGGGATAGACCTGCGGCGGCGGCGGGAACGGCCACGCACAGGTACAATTTTAGCGCGTTTTGTCGCGCGCTCCCAGCCCCGGGATCTGTCCGTTGAAAAGCAGATCCAATGGCATTTCCGAGTGTGGGCCACCGAGTCATTCTGTCCAGCCCAAGGTGGGCGGGGGGCGGGATGATGGGGGGGACAGGGACGCGGCGAGGGGGTCCCCAGCTCGCACTGGTCCCTCCTTGCGTGGCCTCCTGATGCTAGTGGTCAAGCGAGAAGCGGTGGCGGCTGGAGGCGCGGTCCCTGGAGTGCGGCCCGCACTCCAGAGCATGGGCATGAATATTAATTAAAGCCGAGGGCAGACGGAACGGGCCGAAGAGGAGGAGGAAGAAGAGGAGGAGGAAGAGGAGCGGGAGCGGGCAATGGGTGGGAGCGGGGGACTCGGGGAGGCAGTTCCCTGAGGTTTCCTAGCCCGACTCCCCGGTGCCAAGTGGCCTTCCACTTCTCAAACAGAACTTGGGAACTTGCACGTTGGAAACAGGAAGTCGTGGGCTGGGAATTCCTCCTTTTTTGGTTCCTTTTCTCCTTCTCCCGTACCAGACCCTCCTTCCGCTGTTCCCTCCGCCACACCCGCAACTACTGGACTGCCCACCCTGGGCGCTGCCCATCCCGAGGGGCGCCCCGTTTTGCTCGGCCCGCGCTCCCAGCTTCCTCCTACCCTCCGCCACTCTCATCCACTTTCTCAGCTCCCCCAAGCTCCCCCGACAAGGCTCTGTTTTCCCCGAGGCTGGATGCCTCAGTTCACCGGCAGCTTCCAGCCGACACCCCCCCCCCCTCCGATTCGCCATCCCGGGGAGGGAGGGGCACATTGGGAGGGGCTAGAAATTCCCCCTGCAACACCCCACTTGTGCCCTTCCCCCCCCCCGCCCGCATCTTAATTTCTGTTGGAGGAGACACACGGCCGCTCTGCAGCGCTTTGCTGATTCACGATGATCGCGGAGGGAAAGCCTCCCGGGACCTGTACCCCCTGCAAGAGTCGAGGGGAGCCCGAGTGGCTGCGAAGGCACCTGCTTTGGGAAACCACCCACCATGGCACAGCCGAGGTGCTAAATGGCAGGGTGGCTGCCCCGCACGACTCCCAGCGCGGGCAGACGGACAGGCGGGGGGCGGGGGCAGTGCGCGGCGGCTGTGGGAAATACAGCGAGCCCAGTTCTTGGCGGCTGAGCCCGCAGCGGCTGGTGGGTGGGCATCTCTGGGGGCGGGGGGGCGCACATGCCCGGCTCTGCTCGGTACCGGAGCGAGGAGGGAGGTTTCCAGTGCTCCGATGCCAGCGAGCGGCAGAAGTAGGGGAGAGCAGCTGAAGGGTCTCCTTGGAAGCCCTGAACATTTCCTCGAAGCTCTTTTCATTCCGCAGCCTTTTGTGCCTTCCAGATGGTTCCCTTTGAACCCCGGTTTGCTCTCAGCCCTGGAATTTCCAGTCTATTCACGAAGCCCTCCAGCGGCGGGCAGACGAGCCCGGCGACCCCTCGCTCAGTTCCTGGGCAGAGTCTCGGGGCGGGGCGGGAGAATCCCAGCCTTGCTCAGGGGGCCCGGGGTGGAAGTGTTTTCCACCTACGCGGAAAGGGCCTGTGCTCTGAGACCCGGGCATTTGCTCGGAATCTTCAGTCCGACCCTAATTGTCCTTGTGTATCATGGGGGGAGTGTACACCCCGCCCGCTTTCATTCGGAGACACACAGCAGTGCAGAGCGGCCCTTCGCTGCGGGTAATAACCGAGAGTATTGTCTAAACGGAGTGGGAGCCTTGAAGGGGGTCGCATCCTTGTGAGGTTTCTTTCCTCTTGATCCCACGTTTCCGGGGTGGGGTGGGGTCACCACCGAAGACTTAGTTTTGTGTTTGGGACGGTGACCTTGGGAAGAGAGAGCTTCTACCAAGACAATAATAAATGTTGGCTTTTTCTTATTAAAAGTCAAATATAGGGGTGGGAGGTGGCTGGGGGCTAAGAACACATGTCTAGCCAGCCCCATACCCCCCACCCCCAAAGTAACTCTGGGTGTTGTTGTTCTGTGGCTTCCAGACACAGCTGGTGTAGCCCTTATCATATTCATTAGAGTGGGGAGTGTCGCTCATGTGTGCTTCACATGTTTGAGGGCCTTGGTTCCATCTTCCACACCTCCTCCTCCCCGTCTGGCCAGTACCCATGGTTTAGCCTCTGTGGATAGTTTACTGAACAGACAGAAGAGAGTGTAGAGGTTAAGGCTGTGGGTTCCCTAGCCACCACATTGAATTCATGCTCCTGTTTACTCTGGTCCATTGATGAGTGGCTTAACTTCTTTAGGTTACACTTTTCTCTTTTGAAATATGGACTAATATGCTCCAGATCCCTTAGAGTTGCCTTAGAGGATTAAATACCTTAAAAGATGTAAGGTGCTTAAAACAATTCCCGGAATGTTACAAACACCTTGTAGGTAACATTTGTTGCCAGCCTAGTCCTTGCAGACTGTGTGTGTGTGTGTGTGTGTGTGTGTGTGTGTGTGTTTGTGTGTGTGCGCACGCGCGCGCGCTTGCACAAGGAAAGCAGACTTCATCATCTGGACTTCCATGGCCCGGAGCCGCCTGGTGTTCCAAACAAAGCTTTGGTGTGGTGCTGAATACCCAAAACACCATTCCCCTGAATGTGAATGCCAGAGATGATCGTTCTGTCACCATAACGTATCCAGGCAAAATAGAACCACTTCATAAGCATGTCTGTTCACAGACAAAACAGGAACTTGTTCAGATCCCCCAAATGATCAAACATTTCCCTGTCCTGGATAATATGACTATTGTGTGCTTGTCTTTTTAAATACAAGTTATAGGTGTGAGGGAAACAGAGAAAGTGGTAGAGCAACTGACTTTGATCCCCTTAGCATTGCCAGGGATAGACACTATAAAAATAAATAAAATACAAATGACAGCTTTAGCCTTGGTCTGTTCATCTCTCCTAGGCAAAAATTTATTAAGACACCCAATCATAAAACTACACCTGTTTCCTGATAGTATCCAACCCAGAACAAGCCCCATTGCCTTAAATTGTCTCTAAAATCACTCAGCAAAACCCAATAAATCTTTTGTTGACATCTTATTGAGACACCGATGGTGCATGTTCTCACTCACTGGTACTACACCCACAGCTGGTTCAGCTACTGGTGGTCACCTTGTGGCCTTCAGCAACAGGGTTTTACCAAGTATATAAACTATTAATAAGCTTTCTTTTTTATTAGATTTAAGATCATAATAAGCATGCTTCTTGGTAACCATTTTTTTCCCATTAGATACATGAGCATTTCCTCACGCCAGTTAATATTGCTATAAAATATTTTAATGGCTGCATGGATTCCATCAAATGGTTGGAATTTAATTTATTTAACCCTATTATGTGGTTGTAATTTGGTTTTTTGAAGTGTATTTATGTAATGATATTCGGTCTCTTGCAGTGCTCAAGAGCCCAGGGACCCTTCCAGCTATATTTAGGCCTGTGGCTTAGTATTCAGGCCTGGTGGCATGGTGCTGCTTGGGCTGGTGGTACTCAGGCTCACCAGGGCTATACTTAACACAATACTACTGAGGTAGGGTGGAGGAATATGCAGTGCTCATGACTGCCTTGTATAGTTATCCCAGTCCTTTGGACAATCTCCCAGGCCCCTGAAATTTAATTAAACATTTTTTTCTATTATAAATAATACTGAGATGAACATCCCATGCATAAGGAAACAGACTGTATTTTCCTTGTTTTCTTGTGGTCAACTATTCATATTCACCACTA